ATGATATTGGTCAGAGAACTACACTTGGAGAACAGCTGCCCCAAGAACCTTTCTTATCTGTTTATCTGAAATAATTTTTCCTACCCTCTAGACTCTTCACGATACAAAATTGTTGTTATAAGACTCCAGATTGGGATCTCATTTCTGTCTTGCTATTACGTGGTACAGTCATTTCCTCTCTCTGGGCCTGGTTTCCCTTCCATTAAAGTGAGACAGTTGGAGTAAATGACTGCTAACATTTTTCAGCCCTAGGAGCTAATTAAAGAGGGCTAATGGACTAGTTTGTGTGTGTGTGTGTGTGTGTGTGTGTGTTATGGGGGTAACCTGAAGGCACGATTAATATTTTGTAAAACAATTGAATATTACAGTTCAATAAATTGGTATGTGAGGAGGTAGACTAGATGGGTCTAGAGTACCACTCCTAATTTTATACTTTATATCAGGGATCAGAAAACTTTTTTGTGAAGGGCCCGATAGGCTTTGCACACTGTAAAGTCTCTGTCTCAGATACATAACTCTGACACTGTAGTGTGAAAGCAGCTACAGACTGTGTAAATGAACGAGGGAAGCTATGTTCCAATAAAACTTTAGTCACAGAAGCAGGTGACTATCCAAATTTGGACTCTGGGTGCCAGTTTGCCAAAACCCTGGTTTATGTTATTATTTAATTTGCATAAATAATTTTACCTAAGTCCACCTTCTTGATTTAAAAGTTCTGAAAGGATGGCAGAAAGAAAAATAGTTAATATTATGCAATGTGGTTTAAATGTATCAATGTGTGCAATACAGTAATAAAATGTATGATTTATATAATAAAACCTGTAATTTTGTGAGACTTAGTAAGAATAAATTAGTTTTTTATTTGCTAGGAAAGTGTATATTCCTGGTTTTTAAAATTCAGAAGCAATTTAAGTATTACAATACTTATTAGTTGTTTATAGCTGAACTTTCATTATAAAACAGCATACGAACATTTTGTTCCTATGGTAGAAGAGTGAGAAAATACATGTTTGGCATTTAAGCGGGGATTGTTTTTGACCACTCCAGCTGCGAGAGAGGTCAAGCTCTGGGAATAACCCCAGGGATGGGTGGCAAGGACTCCTCACCATCAGTAGGCACCAGTTCTTTTGCCAAATTTAGATTCTAGTGTGGTTGTGCTCGGTGAGCTGAGGTTCCGTAATGGCATTCTCATTGAATTAATGAAGCCACCTGTGACATTTCCATTATTAAAAATGATTTTCTTGACAGTTACCCTGTAATTCAAAGCCAAAGTGAACATAACCATTGTTCTGAACATGTTGGAGACTAAGAGGGGCCTTTTTGGCATTTTCATTTAATTGATGAGATGTAAAATTGCTTTATTTTACACTAACCTGGAGGCTAGTCACTTATTCTTATTCATGCTTTTAATACGCACACGGGGAGAAACCTGACATTTTGATTGGGTCTCATTGCCTGATATACAGTAGCCACTTCTAAAAGAATCTGTTTCTGTGTTCCATGCTGCTCATGGACATAGCCACGTGGGGTCCTGAGCCTGGTTCTTCGACACTTGGGGGGAGGAATATTGTTCCCTCTGTAGCAGAGCTGACCAAATAGTGTCATGTCATAGCTAATATTACTTTTCTTAGCTTCTGTTGGTTAAAGTAAACATTTAGGGAGTTGTTTTAGCAATGGGTACATGGGCAAAATATATTAGTGAGTTAAAAGTAATGGTATGTAAGCTGTAAGCCACAGGCCTATTGGAAAATTCCTAGCATCTGGACACTTCTTTGTTCAGACTAGCCGACTTCTGATTCAGCTCATTGCTTAACTAGAGTCTCTTGCTCTCTTTCCACAAACACATGCACACATACCTGAATATGTGTGTGTATATATACATATATGAATATATGAATAGGTATGTACTTATGTGTGTGTATATATAAATATATTTTACATAAAATTTGCTGGGGCTCAGAGACCAAGAAAGGGCTGTGAACTCCTGCATTACACTGTGAGTTTATTAAGGGAACGTGCATATGAAGTTTATCCTGTTTGCTAACAAGATACCCTGTTTGGTGCACTGTGGCGGTAGGTGCTAAGAGGTTATACAGGACAGGGCAGGGTGGAGAGGGGTACTGGTGTGTGACCCACCCCAGATAAGGGGAAAAATCACCTTGCGTGCTTGCCCAGGGCAAAGCAAAACACTTGCAGGACCCAGCACACTGTGGGCACGGGGGCAGGTCGGTGAGGCAGTCTCTGAGGGGGTGCAGGGGAGGTAGCCTGGATTCTGCCCTGATCTAGGTGGCCGACCGGCAGTGCTAGGCAGCCGTCACAGGGTGGAAGGGCCTCTCCTCCACGTAGTATACATCTTTCATCCCGTGATATTTTAGGACGTTATGATTTCTTGTCATTAATTTTATTTTAATTACATGAGTAACATTGATTAATAATATTACATAAATTACAGGTGTACAACTTTATAACACTCCGTCAGTATACTCTCTTGTGTGTGCACCATCTGAGGTCTGGTCTTCTCCTGTCACCATGTATTTCACTCCCTTTACCCTCTTTGTCCTTCCCCTCCCCCCTTCTCCTCTGATAAGCAACATTTGGTGTCTATGAAGCTTGTTAAGTTTGTTTGTTTCTTCTTTTGTTGCTTTTAAATGTTTTTATTGATTTCAGAAAGGGAGAGAGGAAGGGAGAGGGAGAGAGAAACATTGATCGGCCACCTCCTGCAGCTACCGCTCTCACTAGAGCCATGGAGGCACCAGGTGGCCACCGCCCCGTCCTCGTCCCCATCTGTTCCTACGCACCCGCCTTTCGGTGCCCCGATGCGTAGGTCTTTCGGTGTGTTTGTGTTTCAAGCAGAGAGGCTCTTTTGTGAAGTTACCATTATCCAAATGGCAAATTCAAGGGGAGAAAAGATGGCGTCTCTCATGCTGCTGTGATGCTGAGGTCACCCCTTATTTCTTGTCATTTTTTATATGATAGATCCAGTGCACACGATTTGAGAGAGAGCCTTTTTCAACCTGTTATTATATATGTAGCTAGCACATCTCCTTTTCCAGACCTCCAAAGAGAACGTAAAGTATTCAAAGATTTCCACTTTAGTTGACAGTAAGCTTGTATCAGTAAGTCTTGTCTTTTTCAACATTGTTATTGATGAAGTAGATGAAGACCCTGAGGAAAGTTCATCAAGTTTGCAAATGTCGCTATGCTGTGAAGGAGGACAAAATATGGTGGATGACAGAAGCAGCATTTAGAAAGCACTGTGACAGGCAGAGATGAAATGGATCTAATAAGGTGAAATACAGTAAGGATAAACATCAAGTTTTACACGTTCTTCCCCCAAACAAACTGCACAAGATGGGATAGTGTTTAATGAGGTCTAGTCTTTATTAAGCTCAATATGAGTCAACACTATGGCATAACCAATGTAAGTTAGAAAGTAAATTTTGAAACTAAGCTGCACTGAAGGAAGAACAGTGCTTAAAGCAAGAGGCCCACAAGTCCCAGCTCACTCTGTGTTGTCAGACCATTACTGCAGAAGCGTATTTAGTTCTCTATTTGAGCTACTTTTTCTTGAGAAATGGAGATGTAAATTTCTACTCTACATAGATATCAGGATTAAGTGTGATAATGCATAGAAAAGACATCACAATGTATGGCACAAAATAAGTGTTGAGATTATGTAAATTGTTATTATGGTAGATCATCATTATTATTCTTGGAAATACTCAAAACTGTTGAGAAAGGCACCAACTCTAACAGGATTCAAAACTATGGGGACTGGTGAAAACACTGGAGATGTCTGATCCAGAGATGAGATGATTCAGTGGATATATAAGTGCTTTCTGCTAAGAACAGAAGAGTTGCAATGTGACAGATGGGTTTGGGACCAAGTTCTGTGATTACCAAGGCTGTGGACAAGGATCAATGATCAGAGGCAACAAGAAGTTCAGTTCTATCATTTACACATGGACAGAGATGTATACTTTGAATGACTTCCATAACTGTGGCTTCCTCGAGACAAGAGAGGTTCAACACAGGCTTCATGCCTCTTGAATGTGGTTGCTCTACAGAGGATTAAAGCAGAGGTCAAGAAGTACCCCTAGCCCTGAGAGTCTGGTTTTGTAAATACCCAGCAGAGCAGTTATAATCATGTATGGTGACCACCAGTCACATCTTACGTTTTCAGTTTCTTCATTGTCTGAGGTGAAAAGTTACTATGAACAACAGACATAAATCAGATACGCTGCAAAATATTCAGTCTTAATATTTGAGTGCTGTTGACCTTCAGTTCTTTATAAGCACTTTTATAAATTCAGAGCCATTACTGCAGAAATTTTACTGTGCTTATCATTTGGGGAACTGTGTCAAGGTGGAAAACAGCACCTCATTATAGCCCCTTGTAATAAACAATCTGAAGATTTTCTTGAAGAAGAAAATTGTTACGAAACCTGGCGGTGCTGCCTCTGTGACACTGAATAAGACATTTAGCCTCTCTGGGCCCCAGTTAATTCTTCTGTAAAAGGGGATGGTCGGACTTCCTCCAGAGTTGAGGCAGAGATACAATTAGATGAATGTGTTTGAATGTGTCAGCTGGTGTCATTATGAACTGGGGAAAGTACAGTATCACTACTTTTTACTCATTGAGTTTTTGATCATATATGCGTTTTTATCTTAGAAATATACTTAGTCATACTGAGTCATACTTGGAAACCTGACTTCTAGGGAACATTTAGGACAAAAAAAGAGTTTCAAAGAATATATTGATTGCTTTTTTAAACTTAGTCTCCATTTCCACTTGGGCTGCTTTGCAGGCAAGGTCAGGGTATGTCCGGGAGAGCGCACACGTGCCCCTGTTCTGAAAAGTCAGCAGGTGAGCAGGCGCATACTCTGGCTTGAAGAAATATTGCCCGTGTGCTCTCTGAAGTACGCGGCTCGATTTTCATAGCGCGGCTCTCTTATTGCCTCCCGAATGATGAAACCTCCTTAACCACATTTCTGAACAGGACGGGAAGATCTTCTGCCGACGGACAGCCTGTGACTGCCAGAATCCAAGCGCCGACCTTTTCTGTTGCCCAGAGTGTGACACCAGGGTCACAAGTCAGTGCCTGGATCAACACGGACACAAGCTCTACCGAAGTGGGGACAACTGGACGCACAGCTGCCAGCGGTGCCGGTGTCTGGTACGTGAGCCCTTCATCTGGGCGGGGTACACACTCGGTTGCCTGTGGCTCGAGGGCCCTGCTGTCTGTCATCCTGCGCAGCGAGTTGTGGGTTCTGTTGCTAACTCAGGAGCACGTGCTCTGCCTGAAGACGCCCAGATCAGATTCTGCCATTTAAAACACCAAAAGGGCAAGACCAAAAGAACATATTTATGGGACATATTGGATCCAAGTTACGTTAGCTTACAACTGCTACTTTGTAGCAAATCCATATCAAGAAAATCCCTCTATGAGAGAACGTTTCAAACCCTGACCAGGACTTGTAGTTCTTACAGAGCCCCCAAATCTTTCATTTCTTGGGACATGACCATGAAAGGGTTCAGTATGGGAGAGAACATAACCAACTAGAAATGTTAGGGACTGAGTCATAAAACCTAGAATCCAATCCTGGTTCTCCCATGTGCTAGCTCGGTGTGATTAACTTGGGCAAGTCTTAGCATTCCACTGACCAGTTCTTTCAAATTTCACTACACATAAATGGGTGAGCAGTACCTACCTGTAGAGCTCTTATAAATATTAGAGATATATGTGAAGGGCAGTTAGAATAATTGGCACATAGAAGGTAGTTACTGCACAATGGTTCCTATTGTGAATATTTCCTAGATTGAAAATAAATGTGTTTTTTAGATGCTAAACCTTCATATAGAAAAAATATATATTATTTTGGATTTTAATATAGAGATAATGATGGTACAATCAGATTTGAGAGAATCTAGAGAAAAAGCTTAATTTCTGGACCTGGTTCTTTCTGTTTTAAGTTTATGGACCACAAACAAAGATTTCTAAGGATACGTCATCAGAGTAAATAATGGTGTTTCATCTGTGAGGAGTCGTACGTAACTGTTGGAGCTAAGTCATAATCAAGTCAGTGGAAACTGTTAGTTGCATTCCATAGTTAAATTAATGATTTAATGATTTAGTCTACGGATAGTGTATGGAAACAAATATTCAGAGAAACTATGCTTAAGATTTCTATTGGTTTTTCTAAAATCTCCTGGTGAATGTGCAGATAATCTTAATAGAATACATTCATCTTAATCATTCCTAATACTGAAGAGCATAACTCAGATAAATTCAAACTGTAGCCATTTTTTCATACTTCTCTCCAGGGACAAACCCAAACAACTCTAGAATTAGCTTCCAAATCAGTATGGAATATTTCATTTTCTTTTCAAGAAGCGAGTTCTCAGGCATTCCAAAGAATTGGTATTCATTTTAGACATGAAATTTTTATAGAATTTCAAAAATGTGTCCTCTTCCATCCCAGCCCCCAAATTTACTATCTCATGGGAAAATTGAACAAATAACTTCTGAAGAATAATGTGGATCATATTTAAGAAATATTCACTGAGAGTTTGCCTGTGCCAGACTCTAGATGGATGATATAATAATGAGCATGATAAACATGGTGCATCGTGAAAGCTGATGAAAGCACATAGCTCTGTGAAGCTGACCGAATAATTAGACGTGAGTTTGCATAAATTATGAGTGTCATGATAACAGAAGAAGCAGCTACATAGAGAAACAGTTCTAATATGAACACTCAGCAGAACCCCAGTGGCCAGATGCTGAGACGTGTGGTCTCGCCACTTGAACTGTGATATGGGAAGTCCACTAGCTACGCAGCACATTCAAAACCATTGCGAAACAGTTCTTCTGAATTTGGCCAACCTTAACTTTAAATTTGCTACTAGCAACTCGGTGTATGACGTTGTTGAAATATTACAGTGCTTCAGGTTTCCCTTTGACCTTAAAAGAAATGAATGTCTCTTTCTACACTAGCCAATACCTTACCATCTGTTCATTTATTTGTTCATTTGAATAGCATTTATTGAGCCCAAACTGTGCTAAGCATCAGAGAAACAAACCTGAACACTCAAAACTTAATGTGGAATTGTAGTGATAATTATGCAGACTATCACTATCAAAAACAAGTGTAGGCTGCGGTTGACGCAGATATGGGACCTAACTCCGGGGCTGCAGTACAGAGGGTTATCCAAAGTAGCCCGGATGAGGTGAGGCACATTGTACCCATAATGGTGCTAAAGTAGGAACATTCATTGAGGACAATGATGGGAATTATTGTGCCTCGTTCCCTCTCTGGGACTTTAGCAGCAGACTTGCGCATGAAAACACTGATGAGGCATTTGGGTTTTCTCTCCACAGGAAGGAGAGGTAGATTGCTGGCCACTCACTTGCCCCAATTTGAGCTGTGAGTACTCAGCCACCTTGGAAGGGGAGTGTTGTCCCCGCTGTGTCAGCGACCCCTGCCTGGCTGATAACATCACCTACGACATCAGGAAAACTTGCCTGGACAGCTATGGCGTTTCGAGGCTCAGCGGCTCAGTGTGGACGATGGCTGGATCTCCCTGCACGACCTGCAAATGCAAGGTAATTGGATGTCCCGAGGATAACCGTGCCTTGAACAATGGCCAGAGAACACTTGGGGGAGGTTGCCTCCTGAGGTTTCCGAAGGCCCAGGTGCCAAGGGCCATGGTGGACACACGGGCAGCATTTACCTCCCATACGAGGTAATATATCTGAGTGGATCATAGCTGCACTGCGTATAAAGGCGAATTCCAAAGGAACACGGAATGGAATAGTCCTCTCTTGCCTTTAAATGACAGGATTTTAACAATTGACACTAGCCCAGTAAGGGCTGATTTCAGCTATGTTGACCTATATATTAAAAAGAATGAAAGGAACGAAAAAGACTTTTCATCTTGGAAAATAGTACAAGCTCTTTCATGAAACTGTCACGGTTAAGAAAAAAGTGTTTCATGAAGTTGTTTGCTTTGTTTAATTATCACGGTGCTTAATGCAGGGACCTGACACTCTGCTTCAGGGTTGGTGACTGTTTCTCTCTCCTTTGGAGTCGTTCCCACGAGGCATCCTCGTATGTCTGTAAAATTAGACACGGATCCCTCCCTCCCTGCAAAGCTCGTGAAGAGCCTCGCCTGTAGCCGACATGAGGCAAGGGTGAGGCAGGGTCACATCTCTGCCGAATCATTGGTTTAAGATCCCCATGCTTAAGCCCTTGAAAAATACTGGTCTATTTGGTTTTATCAAATCCTACCTCAGCTTCAGGCATCAGTGGTAGGTTCCCAACTTGCCTTTTTATATGCATTTTTTTTCTCTTTTCTGCAAAGTATCGTCTTCAGATGCAGCCCCGTTAGAAAAGGAAACTATCAAACTTCAAATAGCAAAAGAGCCATGGTTCCATGCGTGCCTGCAGCCCAGCAGACAAAGTGACACGCGATGTGTTATTTCTAATACAAGGGCTTGATTTTAATGAGTTTCTGATCATTTATACATCTAAATATGTACTGTTCCTTGCATAGTCACCATGAGAGACTATATTTGCTCCTAATATGCCCAGCTTTCTGCAACCCGTTTTAGAGTGTCCTTCAGGTTCTTGTGGTCCTCTTGGTTCGCTTTATTCTTGGCAAATTACCTTTCCGGAAATTGTTTTTGCAAAGACTCTCATTTGGAATAAGTCCAGTGAATAAGTTGTGTGAACAACTTGGAAATAAGAGGAAAAGTTCCAAACATGGTTTGAGCTCAGGGCTAAGAAATTGTGCTGCCAGCAGCCCCAGCAGGAGGGACCCTGCCTGCCTGCCCTTTCTATAGTAATTTTCCTAGAGTATCTGTGGAGGTTGTCTCTACATGTAGATGGTTGTTTTGAATATCGATACACACTGTTAACTTATTTGTATCCCACGTCTCAGTTGGCTAATGCTTGTGTCTCGATCTCGATGCACAGAATGGAAGTGTCTGCTGCTCGGTGGATTTGGAGTGTCTTCATAACAACTGAAGTATTTTCAATGGACTCATCATCTTGGGAGAAATATGGACAAAATGACCATCCAACATGATGAAGAACAGGAGTTGGTGTTTTTTGTTTTGTTTTGTTTTTTACCACAATTACCAAAGTCTCCATCGAAGGAAGGTGTTTGGGGGTTGCCTTTCGGACCTGCCACTTTGCTCATTCTTGCTAACTAGTCTAGGTGACCTACAGTGCAGTGCATTTGAGTCTATGGTTGTTAAAAGAAGTTTCCCCGTGTTGTAAATCACATTTCCCTAATCAGATCATTTGCAAACACATTTAAATGATCCCATGGTAAATGTTGATGTATTTTTTTGTTGGTTTATTTTGTGTACTAACATAATAGAGACTCTGCTCCACTTATTTATTTTTTCTTAATTTTTGGATCAAATTCTACAAATAAAGTTGCCTGTTGTGATTTTGTCCCAGCCACTGCATACTTAGTATTGAGATCCCTGTGAACTGTATTGATAAACATATATGTATGTAGAGTCTAATTGCCTCATACTAATATTTCCAACTGTTGAACACACTTAAATGCCCAGTCATTCAGCTAAAACAAGCTGAAAGCAATTATGATAGAGGAGAAAGACCACAAACATAATTAAATGATTGTTTTTAAAAGAACTTTCTATTCCGTCTACCAGACAAAGTGAAACAAAATCTTAAGCCACAATTCAGAACCAGCAATGCTCCCACCTTTCCTGGTATTGAAAGAGAAAGTATCTTTGCATCAGCTCTACATAATATTTGATCACTTACAAGGGACTTTCACACCTATTAAAACAAGTTATCATCATAGCTCAGGTGAATGGTACTATTCCTACATTACAGAAAAGTAAATTAATATGTCCTAGTCAACCAATTTGTTCAGCTCTAGTTGATTATTAGCACCTTGGGACTGGTAACTCGGTCACCTAAGGCCTGCCCAGTGCTGTTTTTCACTACATCACACAACCTCTTCAGGATAGAAAACGGTGCTTTTAAGAAAAGCTGTTTAGGAGGCTGATCAGAACTATGGCAGAGTGAGAAGACTCTATTGTTTCTCCCCTTAAATTTACAAGTCAGACAATATAACTCAACAGAGGACCCCCCGCTCAACACACAGACCCCGGGAGATGCATGCGTTAGGACGTGGGAAGGCGGGGGTGCGGGAGCAGGGGGGGCAGGCGGACGAGGGGAAGGACCGAGAAGGTGGCTGCAGAAGCCGTTGAGCACCCACCGCGGCTCCAGCCAGGCAGGAGAGGAGCCGGCTGCGGCCCTCGCACCACAGCCTGGGATGCAAGGGGGGGAGGCCGTCTCCACCTTGGAAAAGGCGTCCCCTTCCCACATCGCCGTCATGCCAGAAGCGGCCAGAAAGCTGCGAACAACACAGCAGAGCTGAAAGCCATAAACAGAAGGGGGCAGGGCCATGATATCACAAACTTGCCTTCTGTCCCCCACACCCCTTGCAAAGACCTGTAAGCCAAAATCACAGCAGAAAAAGAAGGCAGCTCTGAGAAATGGCAATGCCAGGTCTCCACCACCCACCACAGCCCCCCACCACAGTGATGGCGCCCCATAAAGAGGCAGATGTCGGGGAGACTCCCTCCACAGAGCATTTGCTGAGATGCTGCACCACTCGAGATCTCAGAGGCGCATAGAAAAGAGAGGACTACGTCCATTGTGCTGACAGGGAAACATCCCTCAAATGCCACGAACAACCAAGATAACTTGGGAGCACAGAAAGAAAATGAAGTCTTCGAAACCAAATTCAAAGTCATGGGAAACTGTGATTTAAACAGCAATTCGAGATTGCAGTTATGAAGAAACTCAACGAAATGCAAGAAACACAGAAGGGCCCCGACCAGTTTGGCTTAGCGGTTAGAGTAGTCAGCAGGCAGACTGAAGGGTCGCAGGTTCGATTTCTGATCAAGGGCATGTACCTGGGTTGCAGGTTAGATCCCCAGCCCCAATAGAGGTCATACGAGAGGCAATCAATCAATGTTTCTTTCTCACATCGATGTCTCTCTCTCTCCCCTTCCCTCCCACTCTATCTAAAAATTAATGGAAAAATATCCTCAGGTGAGGAGTAACAAAAAAAAGAACAAAGAAACACAGAAGGCAGGTCCGTGAGCTCAGGAACAAGAGGAGTGCATTACCAAAGAGATTGAAACTAAGAAAAAAACATATTCCGGAGCTGAAGAACTCGGCACATGAGGCAAGGAACACATTGGCAATGGAGCAGTCCAGATGAAAAAGAGAATGAGGGAACTCAGAGACAGAAACCTAGAAAGGAAGCAGGAGGAAGAGGAGAGTGAACTAAGAGTTAAACAAATAAATAAATAAAATGAAAGGACTGTACAGGAATTATGTGACTACAATAGAAAGAGCAACCTATGGATAATAGATAAACCTGGAGGAAAAGGGGGTGGTGGGGAGGAACAGAGAGCCCGCTCAAAGAAAAATTGATGAGAACTTCCCAAACCTAGGGAAAGAACCAGACAAGAATAGAGGAAGCTAACAAAACACCTAATTATATCAGTGCAAAAATACCTTCTGCATGACACACACTATTCAAACTCAAAAATTAATGGCAAAGAATTCCCAGGGCAACGACTGAAAAAGAGACTATAATGTACAAAAGGAACCCCATTAGATTATTGTCAGATTTCTCAGGAGAAAATTTACAAGACAGAAAAGAGTAGAAGGAAATATTCAAAATATTTAGAGAAGAACCATCAGCTAAGGATCATATATATCCAGCAAAGATATCCTTTAGATATGAAGGAGAGAGAAATGGTTTCCCAGACAAACAAAAACTGAAGAATTTGCCACCTTGATACCTCATTACAAGAAATGTTGGAAGGAGCTCTTCTACTAGAAACAGAAACTAAATTATACAAAACTTTGAGTGAGTTGATTAACAGAAGCAGGAAACTGCACAGCTACTTTAGAACAGGTTATTAAACACTTAATTATAACAAAGTTTAAAGTGGAGAAAAGGGGAATTAAAAATAACTATAAGTATTGCAATTTTCTAAGAAATGCTCAAAATAAAAAGGGATAATTTGTGACAGAAAATATCATAAAAACGAATGTGAAAAGGATACAATGGGTACATGTGAATGAAGATAAGAGTAATCAGAAGGAAAAGAGCAGTTGTATGTGTGAGACATTTTATGCAAACCTAATGGCAACCATAAAACAGAAATTAAGAGCTGAGACACAAAACATGAAAAAAAGAAGGAAAGAAGGAAAAGGTAATCACAGAAATCTGCCAAACTAAAATAGCTGACAGAATCATAAGGGGGGCTGGGAGAGACTGGAGATACACAGCAACCAGGAAACAAATGATAAAATAGCTGTAATAAGTCCTCATGTACCAATAATTATGCTAAATGGACCGAATTCACTAATCGAAAGGAACAGAGTAGTGTGATGGATTAAAAAAGAAGACCCAACTTTATGAGCCTGTAGGAGACTCTTCTCAGCTCCAAAGACAAACATTTGCTTGAAGATGATACTTTAAACAAATGCCTCCAAAGAAAACCAGGTGTAGTGGTACTTACATCAGATAATACAGAGTTTAAGATAAGAAAGGTAGTAAGATACAAAGATGGACATTTTATAATGATATGGGTACAAAGCAACAAGACATAACATTTCATATATATGCACCCAACTTGGGAGCATTACAATGTATAAAGCAATTACTAACAGATCTAAAGGAAGAAACTGACAAAAACGCAGTTATATAGGGGCCTGAATACCTACGTCATTGACAGCGATGGATAGATCATCCAAACAGAAAAATCAATGAGAAAATCTTGGCTTTAAATGACACATTAGACAAAATGAATTTGATTGATATTTTTGAAACTTTCCATCCAAAACAAGAGAATACACATTTTTTTTAAAGTGCATATGGAACATTCTCAAGCATAAATCATGTGTTGGGGCACAAACCTAGTCTCAATAAATAAAATATTGAAATCATACCAAGCATATTTTCTGATCATAATGGTGATCTACATGCTACTGAACAACTATTGGGCTGAAGAAATAAAAGAAGAGATCTAAAAATACATAGAGACAGATGAAAATGAATAGATGACATACCAATATTTGGGGATGCTGCAAGGTAGTGAGAAGTTTATGACATTAACGGCCTACCTCCATATATATAATGGAGTACTGGTAAACTATAAGAAAGAATGAAATGCTGCCATTTGCTACAGCATGGATGGATCTTGAGGGTATTGTGCCAAGCAAAATAAGTCAGAAAGGACAAGAACCGTATCTTTTCACTCATATGTAGGGCATAAAACAGAAAGCAACAAGCAAAACAAGCAGACCCATAGATACAGCCAACAGAAAGGTGGTCACCAGAGGAGAAGGGGTGTGGGAGGAGGAAGAAGATAGCAAAGGGGGTCAGACAGATATATGCTGATGAGGGAGACTAGACTTGGGTGGTAAGCACACGCTACAGTATTCAGATAATGTATTATAGAATTGTGCACTTAAAACTTACATAATGTTATTAATCAATGTCATCCCAATAAATATAATTTTCAAAAGTTCTTAAAGATCAGAGCTTGGTGGCAAGGATAAATAGGTGGACCACAGAGGATTCTCAGGGCAGTGAACACACTCTGTGTGATACTATAATGGTGGGTAGGTGTCATTAAACATTTGTCCAAAACCCATAGCAAACACAACACAAAGACTGAACTGTCATCTAACCTACGGACTTGGAATGATGCTGATGTGTCAGTGCTGGTTCATCAGCTATAACAAGTGTCCCGTGCTGGTGGGGTATGCTGATAATGAAGGAGGCTATGCATGTGTGGGGACAGTCATATATGAGAAGTATCTATATCTTCCTCTCAATTTTGCAGAGATCCTAAAACTTCTCTAAAAAAATAAAGTCTTAAAAAAAAGTTCTCCAGCCCCATGGGAGAACTCCTACAACCCAAGCGTATGCAAGTAACCGAATTCACCCCATTTAAAAAAACCAAAAGGCTTACTTTAAGAAACAAGAAAAATCTCAAAGAAACAACCTAACTTTACATTTTAAAGAATAAGAAAAAGACAAAACCAAAAACAAAGCCAAAGTCAGTAGAAAGTAGTAAATAAAAATCAGAGTAGAAAAAATGAAATAGAGTAAAAAAAAATAATAGAAAAATTAATGAAACAACTTTTTCTTTGAAAAGATAAATAAAATTTACAAAATTCTGGCCAGACTTACTAAGGAAAAAGGAAAAGACTCAAATAATAAAATCAGAAATGAAAGAGGAGAAATTACAATAACACTACAGAAGGACAAAGGATTACGTAAGAGTAATATGGGAGTCTGTATGCCACCAAA